ATAAAAGAGGGAGACAACGTGACGGGACAATAATGTGTGTGGGGACAGTAAGTAATTGATCTGCAGTCAGAGAATATTATTGAGCACGTTCGTTGTTATAGCGTTTGTTTTAGCGCGATTGTTGAAATTAAGTGTATCGTAAAGTTATATTTGGAAAGAATAAACCAGTTTTATTAAGTAAGGACTTGTGTCGCTAAAGTTTCGTCGGAACGAAGTTACGGATAGTTAATTAACAAACGGAGACGTAACAATATTCTTATTCTCATTGCACCAGCTTTTGGGTTTATTATAACAACCTAATGCAGGTAAAGTGCCACTTAGTACAGTTAGAGTGTCACTTGGTGTATCTTATGGTTATATTGTAACAATATAGTGCGGGTAGAATGCTACTTAGTATAACCATCAGTGTTTCCAAGTGTTCATGATGAAAATAAATTAAAATTTGGGTAAAGAAAACAAATATAAACTAGTGACAAATATTCAAATTAAAAATGCTGTTTGTAAATATTATCATGCTTACTGGATGCTAAACCTGGGAAACAAATTTTAGTTCCCCCAATGTGTCATAAATATTCTCTACCAACAGTTTCAATCTTTGAATTCTTTGTTATTGTTGTGACAAAAAAAGCGATAACATGTATTAGGGGAAGAAACAATTGTTAACAAACGCCTCTACTTTAAACGGAAAAATAATGACTTTTATTCTGCTTTATATAATATATCGTAATAGTTTCAGAATATGTTTTGTAATTTGTGCAGTCATACTTGTGAAATCAGAAAGTGTTTATAGAGTAACTTTACGAGTCAACTAACAGGAATCTTCCACTATGTAACTTGGTTTAAACAACAATAACAAAAATAAATCATTTGTAACATGTCATTTGTTTATTTTACAGTTTGTCCCGGTGTCAAGTATACTGTATGCCAGAAAAAACTAATATTTTCCATGTGTTATCCACTAAACTTCCTGACGGTGTAGCCTGTAAGCCTGGGTTTGCTGCTGTTTGTGTAGAAGGTGAATGTAGGGTAAGTTTTAAAAACAAGTGTTTAACATATCATTTATACTTATACTACAGAAATTTCAAGGAATATAGAATGGGTAGAGAAAAGCCCCACGTTTATCTGGAAACTGCAGTTTCGTTATTGTACGAGCTCAAAGAAAAAGGCAATGAGTTAGCGAGGGAAGTAGATCGGCACAAGTCTCTCATTTAGGAATTGAAAACTTAGCCATCTACCATTGATACACCAGAGTCTCACCCACAGTTAGTGCCACTTTTAGAAACAAGAAAAAAATCATCCATGAATATGTCAGAGTCTTACCCAAACGTAATGTTTGTTGTGAACAGTAGACGATTTATGGCCGTTCTTTAGGAATGATTCAATAGTGTACAGTAATCAATATATGCATAGAAATACTTCGCTTCAAATCTGCGCCGCCATCGTCTATACAAACACTCCTGACCAGTAAGGGAGAGAACTGAAAAATTACTATCATCGTTGCTCAAGTGACATTGAACAAAGTCTGAATACATTTTACCACATATAAACATGACAGTCTTCAATAAATACCAATAGGTGTTTTGTTTACTGTAACTAATTAATGGGAAATTCGTACAAAGATGATGGCACAAAATCTTGATAGTAAATGCAACATTCCAGTTATTTCCATTATTATTCAATCAGATTAAGATACGATATGTATCTTAGCCAAGAAAGATAAACGAGGTCACGTTCTTGCACTATGAACCAAATTTGAACAATACAAGCATAATGGAATTTTGCTTTATCATTTTGGAAGAAAAGTCTTATCCACCTTGTTGAATGTAGGGTGGACATGATCAGCAATAACGCTAAGGTACCTTTTGGATGCCATTTGTTCTTCAAAAGGAATCATATGTTTAGAATGGAAATATTTTGAACACCATTACATCGCTTCCAGCAACTTTCACTAGTAGAACAAACCAATCAAGGTCAAGTGCCTTATATTGTTTCTCCATAGATTTACCCCACTGTTAGTATAGAGAAGGGTGAAACATGATTCATTAGACCATGTCGCTTATTTTCAACTGTTTATTATACCTAGTTTTCACTCTAATCATCATGGAAGCCGTACTTTTCTGTTTACATCCGAAATTTGGAATTTTCGGACTGGTTTTGATAGTGCATATGATGTTTTCCTAATGTCCCTAGGGATAGTTGAATCCAGTGCAAAATTGAAGTAAATGATTAAAATAGGTACAGTTTGGGATCTATCGCATTTTATAAGCTTTTCAGTCATTTCTTTTTTTCATTCAGTCTCCAGAAGCTAGTGGTCACACAATTTCTTTGTGGAAAACGTATTTCTTTTCGATTGTTACTGCTAGATGACAGATGTCTTTAAACAGTCGGCCGAAGAAATTGTATTTGATATTGACGATTCTGCTAAACTGGCCCACACCATCATTTTTATTTGAAACTCGAAAATGTCGCTATATAAGCTCACGTTAGTCAACACAAGTAAATGCTATGACCAGTTGGAAACTGTAGTTTTGACCAATATCAGTTCTTATTAGTTCAAGTATTTGATGATGGAGGTCGTTATCCAATCAATTTTCGTACAGCTTTATATGACTTGGTATAGCTTTTAGTTTTATACAGACCATTTCACTCTTTCATTCCGTTTACGTATTTAAGCAGTTACTTGAGACATCACATTATCAGTCTGTTTTTAAATAAATAGAGTACTCATAAATATGTATATGAGTAGGATTCTAATTAAGTGTGCAATTAGCGAAGTTTTCAAATAAATGAATGTTCTACAAATGTGAGTAAATCTTATGGTGTAACAGTCAGTAAAGTTTGCAAGTAAATAGAGTTTTATACAATTGCATCTTTAGGGTCTTAATACAGGGTTGAATACGTTATATTAAAACTATAATAAATATGCATATCAGTAGACCCCGTGATAACCACAGCCGATATAAAGTCACGGTGAAATGAAGTGTGTCAAAGTACATTTTGAATATTGTTTGGCGTTCGTAGTTGTTTGATGCTCCTGAAAATGATCGATTTTGAAAAGGTTAAGTAAGAGTTCTTTCTGTTCTAAAATATTCGTAAACTCAGACCATAAAAATTTATTCAGATTGGGAATTTAAAATTTCCAAGATGGTGATATCCCTTGTATTTAATGACATTTGAAATAAAGGAATATGGATCAACTTGGAGAACAAGAATAAAAAAAAAGAGATCTAAAAGAAGTTATCCTCCATTCGTGGTAAGAAAAATGTCTCGTCTTGTAACAGGTGAAAATCTACGAACACATAACTCAATGACAAAATCTGTCCCTGAGTCTCAGACAACGGTGTGCAACGTAATCAAGTAAAATCTCAGTCTCGAAACGAAAAAAGGAAAATAGAGTAGGTGTTCACTAACATAAGGCTTTCGGTCACACCTCTAGTTAAATTGCCGCCTAACTCAAGCAGATGGAGCATAAAATGAGTATTCATGCTATTCCATATGAAGACAATTCTTCTGACGTTAATGCCTAAGGATTTCTGTATGATTAGATTGTTGAAACGGGCGCAGAAAAATCTTCCTTCTTGTATGGCAAATAAATTATGGAAATTATGCAGAAAGATGTGTGAGCTTTGTACATGACAGCCTTATCGCAGAATCTTTTGTAATGGAAACTTCACTGTAGAGCTATCTCAAGATATACGGTCGTCAGATAGATCATGACCAAACGTGATGACATGGATGTAGTGAGAATCCAAAGTTGTTTTCATATAATGAACTAAACCCTCTGCAGAATTGGCAGTCAGTTTATTCGCAGATAAATTGGATGATCTCTACAAATTTGTTCCAGTCACTTTAAATTTCCAAATAAATATACTCTCTAGAAATGGAGGGGTTCTACTAGGATGAGCACTTTAATTTGGCCTTTATGTTAGTATGGTATTTTTAAAAGTATATTAACGTTGCATTTATCTTTTAATCAAATACTTTGTTTAAATATAACTATATAAGTTTATATTCTTTGAAATTCTCGGTTCAATGGATTTGAATGTTTAACAGAACGTTGGTTGTGATGGTGTAGTAGATTCTATAGTTCGTCCCGACGTTTGTGGAGTGTGCAATGGAGACAATTCGTCCTGCCATGTGTTTACAGGTCAGCTGACGATACACAGAGATATATCAGGTAAGTAATGCTTGTACTTGTTTTTCTAACTATTTCTAAACTGCTTTTGAAAGACCTCGGTGATTCAGCGGTAAGTCTGATAGTTTATAACGATAAAAATCAGTACAGAGCATGCCCGTCATGTAGCTTTGTACTTAAGAACAAAACAAGCAAACAAACAAAAGCTATGGCTATACGATTACTTTTGTGATATAGCATCTTTAAAAAAACATTCAGAATTTTCATATGGTGTGCTGGCCTTAATGTTGATTTAATCTATGTTACGAGATAACAGTCTTCTTCTTTAGCTTTTCCTTTTAGCAGGGGTCGCCGTCCTTCACATGTGTTGCCCTCCTTCAATCATATATATTCATTGGTAGGTCTTCTGCAATTACTTTCTTTAATCCCACATTTCCAACGCTTCACTGGTCTTTTTTGTATTATCTTGCCAGCTACTGGCAACTCTAATGCTTTAATGTTTGCTTCTTCTTCTCTTTTCTTTACGTGATCAAACTACCTCAATCTTGTTTCTCTTGCCTTTTCCTCGATTCTACAGATTCCTGCTATTTATTTAATTTCCTTATTCTATAGCTTCTCTGCCTTTATCATCCTTCTTTATCTGCCATTCTTTGAAGGATTCTTTCTTTTCCTTGATGGTTTGCTGTACTTTTTGCTGCACCACCATGCTTCCTTCTGTTAGGGTCCACACTCTTTTGTTTTGCCACAAATATATTTTCTGTCTCTTGAATCAGGCATGTCTTCAGTATTTTCCAGTAACTCTCTACATTTCCGACAGTCTTTTGACCTTATGCATCTTTTGTTTCACTGCCTCTATGTGTTTCTTTTTATTTCCTCCTTCTAGCTTCCACACCTTAATCTTCTCAGTTCCTTTCCCCTTTTCGTTATTCTTATTCTTCTCATTTGCCATCTCCATTATCAGCATTCTGTTTTGGTGTGCCATTGCTTCTCCATTTATCGCCTTTACATTCAACAACTTTTTTCTGTCCCTCCTTCAATCTAAGATGTAGTCAATCTGTGTCATATTCTGGTCACTTTTGTATGTGATGAGGTACTCCTCTCTCTTTTGGAATCCAGTGTTTCTCAGGAACAAAACAATACTCTCGTCATTTCTAACGATCTCTCTCTTGCTACATTTCTTAATCCATAGCATCTCTCCCATGTTTTCCTTCAAAGCCGTCCACTTTTTCCCATACATTTGGATTCAGATCTCTTTCCACAATTAACATCTCACTATATGGCATCCCTATGACCATGCCTTTTTGTTTCTCTTCAAATTTCTCTTTCTCTTCATCAAAGCATTCTATCTGTGGATCATAACCTGAAGCTATAATCAGCAACCCTTCGACAGTTGTCAGCTTCACATGAAAGAGACGGTAAAATGTTCTTTCTACTTCGACCACTTTTATCTTGAATACTTTATCTAACAATTCCCACTTCATTCCTTCCTTTGACCATCATAAGTAGAACAGCTTGTATTTCGCACCTCTTTCATTTGTACTCTATCTTTTTCACTTAGTCTCTTGAATACATGCAATCTTTCTTCTTTTTTCTAATGCATCTGCTAATTCTCTGCCTCTTCCAGTCATAATGCCGACATTCTGTGTTGTTATCTTTAGTTTCCCCGGTCTCTTCTTTAGCCGTCTTTATTGGTTTAGTGGTACCTCTTATAAATTCTTCAAACCACCAGGAAGATAGCGGTGTCTATCGTCTTCTGGGGATGGCCTAGCTCTATGGAATATCAGGCGATTTTTCTCCATATTTAGTTTGCAAAGTTTTACACTCGTGTTGAACACCTTGATGGCAAAGCTCCTCCTTACTCCTCTCAACTTGGAACTGGCTATGGCAGAGTTTATGTTATGAAATAACAGTGAAGGTACAAATTATTTTAACATAGTGATAGTTTCATTTCTAAAACAAAATAGTTCCATGTGAAGTTACAAAAATATATTGTACTTTGTGACATAATCGTTAATGCATAAGACTACCAAATCGAGGCTGTATGGTTCCCGTCCCATTGTAGCCGAATTTTGCTCCGCATATTTGAGATGTTGATATATATCATAAAGATGAGAGTAAATTACAATTATTGCATTGGAATAGCCAAAAACTATGCAGTAGATGATGTTGACTATCTACCTTCCCTCTAATCTAACAGTTCAAAATTAGAAATGGCTGACGCAGTTAGCTCTTCTGTAGCTTTGTGGGAGAATCTGAAACCATCGTTTCTCAACTAATAAACCAGCTTTTTCCTGTAAGTAATCTCATGCTTATACAAATTAGATTTAGAGGAAATGTTCCTAATTTATATTTTAACATGTACCTTATTATACATTGACAGTCTTGACTAAGGATTACGGTCGCTTTTAAGAAAAAATGTTAATATGTCAATTAAATTGGTCCATCATTTTGTAGGCTAAAATGTATAAGCCTAAATGAGAATCTCGGTTTGTGACACTTGCTCAAGTTTCCTCCAATTTCTAGGAAATGGTAACATTGTGAAACACACTAGCTTCAGATTGTTTTTTCTTCTACATTCCTCTTTATAATGACATCATTATTCTTAATAAATACGAAAAAAATTTAATTTCGTTATTATTGTTTTTCAAAAGGTTACTACCACATTGTAAAAAATTCCAGAAAAATTGTAGTCAGCGAGGTTGAAGAATCTCTTTCGTATCTTGCTCTGCGAAACTTGGGTGGTCATTACTATGTTACTGGCCACTGGACAGTAGATTGGCCTGGGCGTTACAGAGCAGCTGGAACAGAGTTCCTGTACAGAAGATGGTACAAACAGCCTGAATCCTTACAAGCCGAGGGTCCCACGGATGAAGATCTTATTGTGGAGGTAAGAAGGTATCACTTAGATAAATCACTTTCGCTGCGGGTTCGGTCGAATCGGCCGAGTTTGTGACCCCAAATTGACCTATATAATTTTCATACTATAACTTTTAATCTGTTATGTGTATCTTCACGAAATTTCGAAAGCTTTCAGTAATCTTTAGGATACTTTTATAGACAAATAATAATCATTTTTAATAAAGTATTTTCAGTAAAAATTTATCCGTGAATATATGGAATCAAACTGTTAACTGCTCCAAATGAAAAATGCAAAAGTTTAAAAATACTTAAAATACTTTTCTTCATCTGAAAATAGTCAAATTTCATTTGCATAATCTCTAAAACCTTCTAAATAAATTTCAAACGTTTCTTTTCAGTAAAACTTGTTTTTTTTTTACATTTTCAATACCCTAACTCTATACGAGGTTGGTCAATTTGACTGAACTCGTAACTACCATAAAAATACGAAATAAATCTAAGTTACCCTTTTTTCTTTCTAGAATGACTTCAAATTGTAACATGAATCTACATTTGTTTATCTTATATAGTTTTACTCAGATTCTTAGTATTAACATAAGGGTAAGATGGTATAATTCGACTGATTTTGTATATTCAAATTCTCAATGGTAACTTACGAAGGTAGGTTGGTATAATTTAGCTGATTCTGGGTATTGATATATGAGGATATCATTCAGCTGATTCTAAATACTCACCTTCTCAGCAATACCTTTGGTGATAAATTGTGTCATTCAGCTGATTCTGGATAATAAACTTTTCAGTAGTAACATATGGAGTTAAGTTGGTATCAATCAATTTATTCAACTTCTCAGGGGTAATTTACGAAGGTAAACTGGTATTATTCAGCTGATTATGGGTATTCGTTTTTTCTGTGGTATGTTGAGGAGATAAATTGGTATCATGCAGCTGATTCTGGATATTCAATTTTTCAGTGATAATTTTTGGAGGTAGGTATCATTCATTTAGTTCTGATACTAAACATCTTAGTGGTAACTTATGAAGGTAATTTGGTATCATTCAGTTCATTCTGGATATTCAGCTTCTCGGTGGTAACTTGCAGAGATACGTTGGTATCATTAACGTCCTTCTGTATATGCAGGTTCTCAGTGGTAACTTCTGGTAAGTCTACAAGTATATCAAAATCTTACAAAGCTGGTTTTGATCTTATCCCTTTCTTATGGAAGATTTTTTTATTCGGGAATTATATAAATCTATATTGCATCAGGTCAACTATAAAAAAATATGTTAGTAGTAATTACAAAACGGTCAGGTATACAATAATTTAGATTTTTAATTTTTAATTTATTAGTTGTGATGAATAAGTTCACGTACACGTTTTTTTGAAGAAAAAAATTTATTGAGAGTTGAAATACATTATTATTCTTTTAATAGTATTAGTGTAGTGATTAAAACTGTTTACTTTTA